TCATGAAAAGGTTTAGTGGTAGCACCAGGTATCAAACAAAAGTCACCAAAGGGGCAGTTAGTTATTCAAAACTGCTAAAACTGCTACAGCATGTCAGTCAAGAGAGTGTTGCAGAATTTTTGCAGTAACTGGCCAGCTTCCCTCTAATACCAGGAACTCATCCACAGACAGAGGGACAGGAATAATAGTCAACGGTTTGTCTAACACATCTTTCCATGTCATGTTGAACTAAAGGCTGCTGGAAAGGAGGGGAAGGAGCAAAAAACAATTACCCATGATCAAAATTTTATAGAGGCAATCAAATACATATTTTTTTAAAATTTGCAAATAACTAACTAACCTTGGAGACATTCTTTCCTTTACTCTGTCGTGTGATTTGTCCTAAAGACGGAGTGTCCATCTAGCCAGAACATGCAGACTTCAGGAAAACAAACAAACAAAAATCCCCAAACTGTTGCTATTAATCAGCACGTATGAATTGAAATACCAGTTCAAAGAAAAGATGCATATTGCTTTATTTGCAGGACGTGAGGTTATGTAATCCAGTACTGTAACCAGACCACACCAAATAAATTGGCAATGGCACAGATGTCAGTAATTACTGAGAAATCTGATCTGGTGAGAAGGCAGGTCTGTTTTAGTTCTAGATACACATGAACAAATGTTCACGTCATTTTTGGTTCAGGATGCCAAATTCTATTATAATGATTATTTTGACATGACATTTAGAATTCTCCCTACCTAGCTAAACTGATCTCCAAAAATAGTTGAAGAACCTGTCAGTTTTCTGCAATTTCTCTTGACTACCTATTGTACATTTAAGAATAAGTCACCTGCATTACCCAAATACTTCAAGCAATTTTTAATTGCGTTAACTTTTCAGAGACTACAGACTTTACAGCAATATATAAATATGACTCAACACTGTTTGGGAAGCCTCAGAGACTCTAACGAATGGAAGCACTAAGGATGAAAGGAATTCCTCAAAAAGGATGCTTTTAAACTATGGGAGATCCATGATAGTGGCAAGCTCTTGCTTAGAACTACCTAGAAAGTTTAATTTAACCATGACAACAAGTTGTCAATGCCAAAACACTGGTACAAATGAAGGCTAGCTTCCTAGGTGACTGCCCTCCTACTAGCTTCTCATAAGATCCGTCTCTCAGCAAATCCCAGTCAAACACTATCAAAGCAGACAAAAAGCACTAAACTTTCTGGGGGCAAGTAGCATCATCTCAGTGCTGTATCCCTAGTTCCCTGTCACATAAACATCCTTGACGATCTTTAAGCAGATTAAGTACACAACAGCTTCATCTTCACAGGAAGCAGGATTAAAAGGTTTATTGCTACTATGACAACAGCCAGGTTCTGCTGTTCTTAAAATAGTTTTGAAACCTTAGCAGTGACTGGAAATTCATACATGCCTCCCCTACAGGATTCATCATGGACTAAATACAGTCCTTCAAAAGGAAATCGTATTTTATCACAGTCTACTTTTTTTAAGCATGTATTTTTATCGTCCTCTTTAATCCCTTGTTACGAGCGCTAAGAATAGAAAGCAGTAAAAAAGACACAGTGCTGCCATGTGGCTGTGATTACAGCTTTAGAAGCGATTATTGCTGGGAGCTGGCTGCAGATACCAGGACAGGCGCTGCTCTCTCGCTTCTGCTCCAAGGCAGTGTTTTTTTCTTGCCCCAGACAGTAATCAACCCCCTTGCTGAAATGGAGCACACTGGGGACTAACCTAACCAGCCCTCTAGCTGCTCCGTGCTACCAGACACCAGCCGTTTTCGGTCTTACAAATCTCCCCCTTGAAACCCGCGGACATTCTGTTCCATCTAAGTCTGAATTAATTCCTTCCTCATAGGTAACAACTGGAAGTAGAATTTGTCACACAGTTCATTACCAAACAGTATCAGTTAAGTTTGTGCCCAGGGTGTAAGTCTGCCAATAACTAGATGGTAGCAGGACGTTCTTTATTTGAGTATGCTATTGTATTAGTGATTAGTATTTTATTGTTGAGGATGGCTAAATAAACCATTGATTCAATCGAATATGCAGCTACTACATTCGATGAACATCTAGCTGTGCTCTGAGGCATTCTCCAAGTATGTTCATGCTGACTTGTAAAACAAAAACAGTAAGAAGTACAATGCTTAATTCTGACAGCAGCACTACCCAGATCAAAGCGGGTAATCCTTATCTAAAACTACTGAAATCAGAAAATTAATACGAACATAGAACTCTTTTCATTACTCCAGTCAGTTTAGATTAAAAGCATATTTCAAAACAAAGAAAAAGCAAATCTAATCCAATTACATTGGTACTATCCATCAGTGTCTCTTGATGCCAAGATGAAATCACCTTCCTGCAGCAAATTGGGCTTTAAAACAAGAGAACCAAATTCAGGTTGCAAAACTCGGGAAGCGATTGATTGTTCCCTTATCCAAACCCCAGTTCTGTTAGCTCTTGTCAATGAAGGCTGGTTCTTTTCTCTATAGACTTCACAAATTCCTGACATTTACAGACCAGAATTTGGCCTTAAACATACCTTTAATTGAGATTTCTCAGTAATTGAAAAATATCTAGCAGTGACTGCTACAGACCAAGCTGAATTCTCCATGAGAGCTGATGCTGTCAATAAAAAACTTATTTACCTATCCCCAAAAGATTAAAAATGAAGTAAGAAAACAAACAGGTAATTAAATTAGCATATTAGAATCATATCTCCAAGTTCAGTATTTAACATCAGTTAAGATAAAATACTACTAAGATGGAAGTCCCAAGTCTCACTTTTAGAGGAGGTTTTAGCTTCTAGTTCCAAAAACTATTTCTATTCCTAAAACATTTCATCATATCACACCTCAGAACTAGATGAGAATTAAGAAATCCACATATTCTGGCACAGTTTTGTGGCCCTGCACTGGACTCACTCCAGTAAGTCCCATCTTCCTTGTACTGGGGAGCCTAGAACTGGAGACAGCACTCCAGATGTGGCCTAACCAGTGCTGAGCAGAGAGGAAGGATCACCTCCCTTGACCTGCTGGTAACGCTCCTCCTGATGCAGCCCAGGATGCTGCTGACCTTCTTTGCCGTAAAGGTGCACTGCTGGCTCATGGTCAGCTTGCTGTCCACCAGGACCCCAAGGTCATTCTCTGCAGAGCTGCTTTCCAGCTGGTCAGATCCCGGCATGTACTCATGCCTGGAGCTACTCCCCAGACGCAGGGCTTTGCATTTTCCCTTTTTAAGCTTCATGAGATTCCTTTCTGCCCAGTTCTCCAGCCTGTTGAAGTTCCTCTAAATGGCTGCATAGTCATCTGGTCTATCAGCCACTCCTTCCATTTTTGTATCATCTGCAAACTTGCCGAGAGTGCACTCCATTCTGTCATCCAGATCAATTAATGAAGAAGTTGAACAGTATTGACCCCAGTATTGAGCCCTGTGGTATACCACTAGTGACTTGCCTCCAACTGGACTTTGTGCTGCTGATCACAACCCTCTGGGCCTGAGCATTGTGCCAGTTTTCAGTCCATCTCACTATCCACTTCTCTAACCCATACTTTTTCTGCTTGTCTATGATGATGTTATGATAGCGTGAAAAGCTTTACAAAAGTCAAAACAAACAACATCAACTGCTCTCCCCTCATCCAGCAAGCCAGTCACCTCATTGTAGAAGGCAATGAGGTTGGTCAAGCATGATTTCCCCTTTGTAAATCCATGCTAACTACCCGCAATCACCCTCTTGTCCTTCATGTATTTGGAAGTGCTTTCCAGGATGATTTTCTGCGTCAGCTTCCCAGGGACTGAGGTGAGGCTGACTGGCCTGTAGCTCCCCAATTCTTCTTTCCTGCTCTTCTTGAGGATAGGAGTGAAATTTGCTCTCTTCCAGTCTTCAGGAACCTCTCCCAGCTGCCATGACCATTCAGACAACTGAGAGTGGCCTCGCAATGACATTAGCCAGCTCCCTCAGCACTCATGGGTGCAACCTGTCAGGCCTCATAGACTTAAGTACATCCGGGTTGTTTACATGCTCCCTAACCTGGCGTCCTCCACCAAGGTTAAGTCTACCTTGTTCCAGACTTTCCCTCTGGTCTCAGGGGTATGGGATTCCTTGAGGCCAGTCTTACCAATAAAGACTGAGACAAGGAAGGCAACAAGTACCTCAGCCTCCTCCATGTCATTTGTCACAAGTTCCCCTGCCCCATTCAGCAGGGGGGGGCACCTTTTTTTCCTTTTGCTGTTATATAGTTGTAGAATCCTTTCTTCTTGCCCTTCACATCCCTTGCCAGATTCAACTCCAGAGGGGCCTTGGCTTTCCTAACCCTATCCCTGCAAGATCAGAAGGCAACTCTATGCTCCTTTTGGGTCATCTGCCCCTGCTTCCACCTCTTCTATACTTCCTGTTTGGGTTCAGTCAGAAGCTCCACGCTCATCCATGCAGGCCTCCTACCACCTGTGCTTGACTTTCTACTTGACATGATGGACCTTTCTTTAGGTCTTCCATGCAGGCCTTCCATGCAGAGACAAGGCAATCCCCCAAAGAAACACCTTCAATAGCAGTCAACTCAGACAAATTTGAACTTTGCAGTGAATACCTCTCCAAAACAACAAAAAAATGCTGCTAGGGAAAAGCTCTTTTTCAATTGTATTGATATGAAATCAATACCAAAATAACAATACACACCACTGTTCATGAAGTGTTTTCTGTCTGAGCGTCCTACGTATTTTTCCTGGGTAACACTGATCTTCATTGTGCCAGCTGGTGTTTCAGTATAATCTCGTATCATTTTTTCATGCCTTAATTATACCTTATGGGTGCTTCTGCAACAGGCTTTGACCGACTCCTTAAATGAACACAAAAAGTAGCTTTTAGAAGAAAGTACTTAAGTGTCTTAAGACAGGAATCTTACTCATTAAATGTTGAATAAAAATAGCTACAGTGTTTAGGCCTCCAACAGCCTTATGTGATGGCTTTAAAATAATAGTAAAGGCAAGATAAGTCAGGATCCATGCAACTTTTATTTTAATAATTAGACAAATACAGGAAAATTTGCAATAATCTATCAAAAACGTATCTTATCAAGAACCGGAAAGGTGTTTAAAAAACATTCACATTCAATTCAGATTATGTACAAACCAGTGTTGGTAAAAAAGAAAACAGCAAATGCTTTGAGTGTAAAAGAATTCCATTCTAGTTCATGTTTCAGCGTTCCCAATGACCAAGTTACCACTGAGATGCAATCACAGTGCAGACATGTTCCACAGTCTATTAAACTCATTTCAACAGCATCACTGCCAAAAGTAATTTTTTTTTTTTAAATAAAGCATTTCGAGAAGTTTCGTCATACAGTACCATCCACCCAAAATGTACTTCTGCATATTTAATTCTTGACTGCACTAATGGCAGAACAGTTGTCATCTACAGGCCCAGAGCACATGTAATACATATCATCTACATCTCTTTAGGTACAGATATATATCTATATATCCAAGAAGCACCAGTCTCCTATGCCTGAAATAGTCACGGTCTGCTTTGTACATTGAGGAGATTAGCCATTTTTAGTGGAGCACAGCCCTTGATTATTTGGCTCAAAGAAGGCATCATCTGCCCAGTCAGAACCATTCTGAATGTGTTGCAATATCATGTGCGTACCTTCAAGACTCACCTCGCACAGATGACGTTTGAATTTGAGTGCCACCATAATAGCCATACAGAGATATGACAGCATCATACGCCTTTGCTGTAAGACCAGCTTCCAGGGATCTCTCTTTTTTGCACTGGATTAAATCCCCCAACAGAAAAAAAAAAAAGGAGAAACGAAAGCGGCTGGTTTTTAGGCAAATCTGTAACTCAGTATTTTGTTTTCTCATTTACTTATTTGAAGCTTAGCTAAAGGAGGAGACTAATCATTGATGTAAGCTGAAAGGGGAGAGAAAGCTACCATGATATCCAGTTTCAAAGTATGATTACTGAAACAGTCACACAACAGTTACCAGTCAGTCTGCTTGGGCACAAAAGAGATGAATCTAGCTACTAGGGTTACACAATAGTTCTTTCAGAGCTACAGTCTAATGTGCTGTCATTAACATACTAATTTAGTAATAACAAACTCTCTCAAAAATGCAGACTACATACCAGAATTCTTTCAGTTATACCAAGCTAACCAAGCTGAAATGGTTCACGAACTCAAATTAGATTGGTGTTTTAAGACAAAGGAGAGGAAAGCGACACAACCTTCATGCTTATGTAGTAACAACCCAAATGCAAACAAAAACTATTCTCAACTGAACCTTATGGACCCAAGTACTGAGAGGATCTTTAGTTGCAAGATGTCATTTGGAACATAAGATACCATGATTTGGCATAAGAGGGCAAATACAGAAAATGTCATCTGGTTTTTGAAGGTGTTTGTAAGACTTGGTAATAAGCAGTGTACTTTAACATATATTGGCCTGGGCTTGAAAAGCAATTTCCCTTCTGAATTTATTTTGAGATTCAAATACATAAACTTAAACAGTTTCTGTGAATATAAATTTTATAGTCTCCACTACTGTAACTCCACACTAGCTCAGAAATTAAAACTTCAGGATAGCAAAAGCAGCTCTGGGGAGTGGAAGACCGGCAATTTAGTGTTTGAAGATTCTGAGCTCTTCCTTGGGTTGTACATCTAACACCCATTCAAGTACGTGGAAAGGCTTTTGTGCATTTCTATAGATTCTAAAGCAACTCTTAATGGAGCTAGTGCTCCCATGGTGCATATTTAAGCCAAAAAACAAACAATAAAGATGACTGCTGCATTGAAGTAACAACTCTTAACTCAGAGTCGGCTCAGATATGCAAACAGATGCTAGTGATGCCAACTCTTAGCAAACCTGTTCTATACAATGAAACAATAGTTAGGATGCCCAATAAAATACACAAGGGAATTTTCGTAGATATAATGCTCAGGAAAGGGACAAGTTACAATAGTATAAAAACAACTCAAAGTCTTGTAAAAAAATCAAAAAAACCCAACCAACCTGTTTTAAGTCAGGCTTCATTGCAGCAAAATATGGAACAGTGATTTAAGCTAGAAAACACAAGCAAGTTTGACTTGAAAAGTCAGTGTAAGCAGTTTTGATATGGTTAGTTTATTAATGCTATCCACGACGAAACAGCACACAAATGAGATGAATAAAAGTACTTTAGAGGAGACAAGACAATGTATTTTATGAAAATGTAAATGCTAACACTACAGTTAGCAAGTCATACTGGAAGAGACAGACGTTTCCCAGGACAATCAAAGTAAGCCTTCCTTGGTTTTAAAGCAGATTTACACGACAGCCTTTCTTCCCTTATTTGGGCAATGGTTGGTGAGCATCTGTGACTTCTCAGTCCTTTGAATCTATAGGCACTGAAACAAAGCCCCAGAAAAAAGGTAAAAGGAGCTTGCGTCAGGATTTTGACAGTTGTTCTACTTGGCAAGGACTCCAGTATCAAGATGCAAGTAAAACGGAATGCCCGTCAATAGTATCCACTCCTTATGCTTCCCTCAGAAAAAAAGTGACTTGTACAGAGTAAGAGCCTACGGCAAAAACAACTTCATCTCACACAAGTCTCATTTCCAAGCAATTATTCATAAATGAGTTCTTTCAAATGAAGAAGAAATCAGAGTTTAGCAGTTTTAAGGTTTGAGTCGATTCTTTTTCTTATAAGAAGTTCAAAATCTCGTATCTTCTTTTCAGTGATTTTGAGCTGTCTTTCATTTCTCCAGTCTTCGACTCCTCACGGGAGAGGTAATTAAAGTGAAGAGGGCCACAAATTTTGTTCCTTGGTAACATTAAGTAATGTCTCACCTAACTTAAGTATCCTCACCAATAAAGATACTGCATGAAAAAAAAAATCCCTGCCCATCCTGAGGTGTTAGACGGTTGAGTGACCAATACTTCAGGTCAACAGAACTGTAAACCACACTTTTGAAGAGGACAAATTTCTGTGATGCATTAGAAGCGCTACTAATAGCACTTTGGCCTCTAGATCTGGCAAGCTAAACTCCATCTGGGATTGCTGCAAATGTCTACTTATTTCATAAGAATTTCAATAGAAGGAACATATACCAACAATGCAGTCCGTGCTGTTAGTGACTATTCTCAAAGACAGGGTTTGAAATGGTGTTCTAGCAAAATGATTTGCAAGAGCACAAAGAGTAAGTCCTGAAATTGCTTTTTAATTAACCTTTTAGAATCTAAGACCCAAATTAGGACCTTATGATCCACTAATGCCAAATAATTCAGTCCAAGTCTAAGTAGCTACATAAACTGGAGCAGGTGTACAGAAGGTGCACTCCATGCTTGAGGATACAAAGTATTAAAACTGAGAAGAGGCTCTAGTTCCAGTGTGAAAAAAAAAAGCTTTTAAATTTACTAAACCAAGCACACTCAGGCACAGAGGCTATGAAGTGGTGGAGCACTCTTTGAGTGACAGTACTTTCTCCCTTTGTCAATTGCTACAAAGTCCTTTCTCCTTACACAAAGCAGAGTCAGGACTCCACTGTCAAAAAATCACTGCTGAAGAAGTCTGAATTGGGTTCTCTCTCTTCAAGCGGTTACAGGGGCAAGTTCCATGTGATTTGTCAGCTTCCTCTGTTAACATCAAAGAAGTCCTGAGCACCCTTAATGCTGTGAAAATAATCAACCTGTGGTAAGAGATCACATTGCTGGTGGAAGCATTAGCAATTTTCACAAAGGTGGCCCTTACCAGAGATATGTATATCAGATTACCTCTGATATAATAGCACCCGGTTTAGACCAGCCATCAGGAAGAAGCCACTTTCACACAGGAAAATTCGTATGGTGCCCAGTGCAGCAGTTGTCTCAAGAAAAAAACCAAAACAAACCACCATTGGAGGAAGTTGTAATGATTCAGGCTTGGAATCTTGAGTATTAAACGTCAGTCTCACTTGAGAACTGAGGGAAAAACACTTTTCCTCCTCCCAGATTTGCTACAAATATCCATAGAATACCAGCATCAAGTGTGCTAGATATAAAACTGATGGAACGCTAGCTGGTCCATAAAGGGTTGCACCAAGTTATCTGTAGCAAAGTAAAAAACTAGCCCAAAGGTTATGGAGATTGGAAGAGCTGGTAAGGCCTTCTTAAAGATGGCAAGGAGCAGAAGTGTAAGGCACAGACCCTGAGGGGAAGAAAAAAAACGAAACAAAAAACATAGGGAGAAATTAGCTAACTCTGACAAGCAAAAGATTATATATATACATTAATCCCACAGAAATACAAGATACAGCTCATGCCTTCCTAAACTGCAGGCTTAAGCGACAGATGTACAGCCAATGAAGATCACAGCTAAAGCCCTCATCAGTTTTCAGTCTGGCCACCAAATAAATGAATTCCAAAGAAAAAAAATGTAGCACTTATGACTTTGTCCCTGATGAACAACAGAAACTATCCCTGCTATAATATTATATTATACTCACAATTAATATGGCTACAAAACATGCTAAAGTTGTATTCCAGTCCCCGCTTGCTGTTGCAGAAGCTTTGCCAACAAGGACACTGTAGAAAATGAAGTCTCCTAAACCTAGCTTTACTCCTCCTGCAAAAGTGAATATATGGCAGTATTAAGTATCAGTCAGTCTACTAATATTACACATCAGTAATTGTCAGAGAATAATACAGATTTACATTAAGTATCAACAAGACTTGCTAATAAGAACATTTTATTTTCAAAACTAGTACCACTCCTGAATCAAGTGATAAAGAAAAACTCTTGTGAAACAAGATGGCTTAGGAACATTACACCACTCAATTAATTCATCCTATAATTAGAATTTTTCTATATTCCTAGTCTCCTGTACATACAAATGCAATATATACAAACTCAGATATTTGTAATTATATTTTGGGGGGTGGTGGGGTGTCCACTTTTGGTTGTCATGTCATATTCAACAGAATATTGAAGTACAATTCCTTTAAGCTGACTGAGGGAGGGGGAAAACAAGTAAGTCCTCTGCAAATGATGTTTTATTTGCCAGTTAGAAACCTATACCCAGCAAAATATTCCACTGCCCTCCCAATTTTCTACAGAATTCATACTAGGGTAGTTCTAAAAAGCATTTGTGTGTAATTACAAAGCATATCACAGAGGCAGAAAACCAACATATTTAGTCCAAGATGCGAGGTTTAGGAAAACTCATGAGTTAATGTCTTATTCTTTTAAATAGTAATTACCACCTTAGCAATGACTCTGGGGCACAATACTCAATTATTTCTGCAAACAAAATAACGAAGATTTCCTGAATGCCAGTTCACTTCCGAGCTCTTAGTCCAAGATATTAAGTCAGAGAGGCCAACATCAGGTCACCGGCTGTTTTCATTTGGCCTATCGTTGACTTTGTCAACTGATTACAGTCCAGCCCAAAACTCACTTTAGACTTCTAACAGGAACTCAAAGCATCAAAACAGAGGTGTATGCCTGGTTGATCACTGGGGAAAAAAGGAGAAAAGAAAAGAAAAAAAGGAGGAAAAAAAAAAAAAGGAGAAAAAGGGGGGGGGGGGGGGAAGAGGGGG